CTCAGAGATGAAATTAAGTTATTGATGTACATCAATCGATAATTATTTTCGAAATAATATTATTAAATTGTGAAATAAACAACCCAAACCAACGTTCATTTGTTGATTGAAGCAAACGTGATCATCTTTTAAAAATACTTATTAAATCAATCGAAGGCGTTGTTGTATTCTTCTTGCCAGCCATCACGGAAGAGCAATCGTGTTTACAAAAAAACTTCCGATAGGAAATAAAACACAGTCAAATCGTTCCGAGACTAGCCATTCACAACAACAGCGAAAAAAAAAATAACAAGAAACCCCTCGCTATACAACAATAAGATGTCTACCGAAACATTCAAGTTCCAAGCTGAGATTAATCAATTGATGAGTTTGATCATCAATACCTTCTACAGCAATAAGGAAATCTTCTTGAGAGAATTGATATCCAATGCTTCTGATGCTTTGGATAAGCTTCGTCACATCAGTTTGACTGAACCATCAGTCTTGGACTCTGAAAGAGAGTTGTTCATCCACATTATTCCTGATAAGGTTAACAAGACATTGACCATTAGAGACTCGGGCCTGGGCATGACTAAGGCCGATTTAATTAATTGTTTGATCCATAGTAATCACAATCACTGGGACCTTAATAAAATGCTCTTTGAAAAAATTTTAAAAAATATTTTCTCTCTTGCTCGACAACATGCACCCCTTAATAAAATGGAATTTCTTCTTCAAAATTGAAAAATATCTTTTTACTCTCGTAAACTGATAGTATCAAGTTTGAATCATCACACTAGCCTCTGTTCTTTCACCAAACAATCCGATCGTGGCAATTAGCTTCCATGTGATGACAAATGCTATTGTTGTGATTTTGATTCCTTACATTCTCCACAATGATGGAAGTAAATTGGTTTTTTGATGGTAATGATGATGATCATTTGTTACTCCACTGAAATTACATGACCGATTTATTTTTACTCATCCATAAACAATCAAGCGAAAAAGCGATTTTGCAACACAATGTGAAACAAGCCTAAATTCCTTCCTTATTCGAAATTAACTCAAAAAAAAAACGCTGCATTTATTGACTCACATAGTTGACAAATCAATATTTGCAACACTTGGCAACAAGCCTTTGGTATACAATTCATCACAAGACTTTCATCATCATCACAACAAGACTTTCATCACAACCCTGGTTCACATCTAACTGACATAACTAATTTTCAATCTTTCATCAAAATTCAAATTATCTAAAAACAAGCCTTTTTGCAACTTCACATCTACCAGATACAAAACCATAAGAAACAACCCTATTCAAATCCATTCAAGTCTCGCAGCAACAACAACACTCATCATTCATTCACTAATTAAATCCTTCGTCATACCATCACAATGTTATCAGCATCAGCAGAAAATAATCTGCAAGACATGTTTGCTCAATTCCTCAAAGGTCAAAGGGTTGACACTGGAATGGAAGAAGAAAACAAAAAGTTGAAGAAACAAGTTAATTTTCTCCAAAATCTTGCCTGGGAAAAAGAGCAAGAACTTGAAGAAAGGGATAACGCATTCTATGCAATGGCTGCAAGGGTTGATGGAGGTGTGCTAGCAAAATATTATACAAAAATAGTTAAAAGTGATAGATCCTATAGAATGCAAATCAATACCATCAAACAACAACTCAAAGAGTGTGATCCAGATGATACATTAATTATGAATTCCTTAAAGAAGAAGATTGAGACATTAAACAAGGAACAAGAAGAAGATAAATCCCAATATTTCCTTGAGTATGAGAATGCAATGAAGATTACTGATGCTGAATTACATGCCATTTACCAAAAACACAATGCAGAGATGTTGGAACAGAAAAAGTTGATTGACTATCTTTATGCAAAGAGCAACGAATACGAGTTGACTGGAAAGAAACTTAATGATGGACTGATGGGGAAGGCGTTAGAAATTGAAATACTCAAGAAAAGAGTACAAGAGACTGAGAATCGTTTAAGAGATGAAGAAAATAGATTTTTAACAGCACAAAATCAGACAATGAATGAATTTGATCTCCGAAACAAATCATTAATTTCAGAAATGAATACTAATCATCAATCATTAATATTAGAATTGGACACAAAGCATCAAATGTTAGTATCAGAAATGAATCAAAGATACATGACAAAATTGTCTGAGTTGGAAGAAGAAAACAAGCAATTAAGGGTCGATACATCAAATTTTTTGCTAGAGTTACAACATTCAAAGTTAAGAATTGATCAATTGGAACTTGAAGTTAAGGAAGCAAAATTAACACAGCTAACACTTGGACAGGCAGCTATTAATCAAACTCCTACTACATATTCCAGAACTGAGGCCATGAAAGATTTCAATATCGGTGCATTTTCTGGTGATGCCATGAGTATTCTCCTTAGACCTCAACAAAGACAAACAATTAGAGAATTTCAGTTCAATCCAGAACAAGACAATGTTACAACATTCCAAGGATATATAGAAGCTTCAAGAAAAGTGGGTAAAAGAACCTTTGAGAAAAACACTTTAAACAATCATAGGTGTGCAGTAAGGAGTTACTTGAAATTTATTTCAATGTCTCCAGAGGAAATAGAAGTTATTCCACCAAATAATGATGCCATCAATGCTTGGTTGTGTTTCTTAGCAAGAGAATCAAAGGCCTTCAACACTATTTTGAATTATGGAAGAGGATTATTAAGCCATATCAGAGAAGAAACAGGTGCCAAGAACAATGCCTCAATAGACCAACTAGACTATAGAAGATTTTCTTCCACTTTGAGTAACATTCTCAAATCATTTGGAAATGAAGAAGAAAAGGCATTAGTATACGATGATGTGGAATACTTTAATGTAATGAAGAAGAGTTATTCATCAACAAGAAGAACTATTCTTAGAGATAGAGCCATGTTTGCCTGTCAGAGTGCAATTGGTCAAAGACCAGACTCTATTTCATTCATGAAATTGCGTGATGTTGAGATTTTTATCACAGTTGACAAGAGGGTCAAAATTATTTACTCAACCAGGAAAATGAAGACAATTTTGAAAAAACCTCACAAACAGCCAATCACTTCTCAACATAATGGTGATAGAGAGGTTTGTCCAAATCATGTTTTATTGAACTATCTTATCGCAAGAGGTGCTTTGGCTTCATATGACATCAATACTCCGTTGAACAAAGTTTTGGAAACTCCTGGTCAAGTATTGATAAAAACAGATATGCAAGACAAGTATTTATTTCCTTGCATGAAAGTAGATGGAACTTTTAGAGATAACAATCGTTTAAGGACTTTGTATTTCACAAGAATATATCGTCAGCTTTTTTCATTAGCTGGCTACAACAAAAAGGTCAGTGGATATTCCCCTAGAAGATCCTGCGTTACTAGAATGATTGAACACTTTATGGACAAAAACACTTACAATGCTGGTGCAGAAGTGGTTGTTAAATGGATTGGTTGGGAAGCTGACTCTAAGGTTTTTAGAGAATATGTTGATGATGTTGTCAAGAACCACCTCAAAATTGGTGACATTTTTGGTTTGAATGAAAATGAACAAGACGGTGAAGAAGATGAGCAAGAGGAAGATGTTGATGAACAAGATCTAGAAGTAGAGGATGAGGAAGATGACCAATTAAATGAAGATGATGATGATTATCAACAGTCATCAGAATGCATTTTAAATGATGATGAAATTGAACTTGAATTCATTCTCAAGATTAATGATGATCAACAATCACCAAGAAGTGTAGAGCTTAATATTGAAACAAGACCAGGATTAGACCCTCAAATATCAGCCTACATTGAAGACAAATGTAGAACACTTTATGAATTTCCAAATGATCTCATTATCAAATTTCATTCTAAAATGAGAATTCGTTTTGTGAATTTTTTATTTTTTGCTCACTTTGAATTAATGCTTCAATTCAAAGACACTTGTAACAATAGAAGATTGAATCAAGAGCAGAGAACCAATCTTAAAATGTCAATTATTAATGAAAGATTGAAGAATGATAATTTTAGAAAATCACTTGAAGAAGATGTTGAAAAATTTTTCACTAGAATTATGCCAAGTAATAATCCTTCTAAAGATTCTAAATTTGATATCTATTTCAAAGGTATTGATATTCCTATTCGTTATCATGACAAAGCTATTGAGATATATGATTCTGCTGATAATGATATGAACGATGAATCAGATCAAGATGAGGTGATGATTACATCTGGTGCAGATGAAGATGAGCAAGAAGAGGCCAACTCAAACTCATCAATCATTACATGGACAGCACTTTCTAGAGGAAAGACTTTTCCAAAGATTAGATATATTGCAAAGACGTTAATTTTGAGGGATTCTAAACTCAAAGATAGACTTAATGTCATTCTTCCCAAAAACAAAACGAAATATATTGTTTCTAAAGCTTACATCATTCTTTTATTGAAGGAATTACGAGTGAAAGGACTGACAATATTACATGATTTGTTACCACATATGAAAAGGCTCAAATCTTGGCAAAATTCTTATACAATCCCAACAAATTTTACTTCTGGAAAAGCTTTTAACAATTACTTATTAATTGAAGGTTATGGTGAAAAGTTTATTCATAAGAGTGAAAAAGTTAAAGAAAGATTTATGGAATTATTTGTTGGCAAAGATGGTAAATGCAGGGTAGTAGAATATGATGTGAACACTTTAGAAATAATTCAAGATTCTAAATATCAAAACTCCTTCAGGAAAGCATGTGATTTAACTAAATGTAATTCAAGAAGTGAATCCTATCATTTTCGTTCAGATTCAGTTAGGGCACATTTAGAATCTTTAGATGGTATTTCCACAATTTTCAAGAAGGGTAATTATATTTCAACTGCCAATGTTTATGAAAATGAAATGTCAATCAAACT